GTTATACAATCCACGTATATATACATTATATATATGGATAGATATATATATAATACACACACAATACAAATATATAATATACCAAAATTCTGTGCATCTCCAGGGGGCTAAGCCCCCCTTGTCCTTAAAACCTAGTGACACCCCTGATGCATTATTCATCTTATCAACATCAAATAACCTCACAAGCCTGACTGCCTCTAAATGTGACAACAACCAAATATATTATTTAAGTATAAGGGGAGAAATCAGGCCAAAAGTTAAACTGTTTTAGTCTCCAGCTGAGAGATGTCTTGTGTCTGCTGTATAAGATACAGTTTTAGAGTATTTTTTAGCTTAAATCTAGGAATACCTGAAATATGTATTTTTTTTTTCATAACAGATGTAGGTAATAATTTACAATTGACTGGACCTAACATATAGAAACGTTTAAACACAATGTTTGAATRAAAAGCAACAGGTCCATAAACTTGTTCCTCCCATCTAACTTCTAAACTCGAGGCAGTAAAAAAAAATATATATATCAGTGGTCAAACAGTGAAGCTGCAGCTTCAAAAGGGCAATCTTCAAACAACGGCTGTTGTCGCAGTTCACATTATCTCTGCAATCAATATTCTGGCTGCTGTACCTTGCCCTTTCATGCCGCTGCCCTAATGTGACACCAGAGCCATTAAATGAAAAAAAAAATACTCAAAAGCTAAAGGACTTGAAAGAAATAACTAAGTACAAGTAAAAATACTTTAACCTTAAATTTTGCTGATAAGAAATAGGTGAAAGTCATAAAACTATTCACAAAAATATGGAGAGTCTCTCTCTCTCTAAAAAAATAAATTGTTTAATTTACTGAATCAAATTGGTTCCACTAAACCAAGATGAGTAAATTGAGGCAATATTTATACATATTTTTAAAGGAAATATGAATATTGCCTCATATTTAGTCGACTAGGTTTAGTGAAACTAGTAGAGTGGTTGAGTAAATTCAACATTTCATTTTTTAGAGTGCATAAACTATTTCAAACATTTAAATTTGTARCGAGGTGTTAAATGTTAAAGTAAAGAAGTAAAAGTATCATTTTTAGGTTTTAAATGTAACAAAATAAAAGTAACAGTTTAAAAACATACTTCGTAAAATTAAAAATCATCAAATAAATTACATCAAGTAAATCAAGTTACTGGAAACCTCTGAAAATACTAAATGAAGATTTTTTTTCCTAACTGGGTTTCATTTATTTATTCAGAAAAAAATGCTGAAATGTTGCTTCCGTTATATCTGCCACACCTTTTCTATGAATAAATGAAATTAWCTGCAACAATGTGGGGTTAAAGCTCCTGAGCAAAGACACTTTGACATGTGGAGGGTTCAGRGATCGACAGCAGAACGCTCATCACTAAAACTCCACACCTTATTTATGATATGAACGTTTTATTTTAGCCAAACTACAMATTGACTCCAATAAACTGTAATTAATGCTTGCTCATGCTTTATAAAAAATGTCAATAGTAAAAAAAAAAGAAAAGAAATGTCCCTATCATTAAATATTTTTTTATTGCATGTCACCTGTTAACTGCCACACAAAGCTGAGGATGTAATGGAAAATAAACACAATGGTGCTGTGTACACACCCTCCATCATTTACACAGCCATAAATGTAAAACACACACACACACACACACACACACACACACACACACACACACACACACACACACACACACAAAACTGATGCCAAAGTATTAATGAAAATCCAATAAAAGTTACACATTTGCCTCAATGGGAGTTTCACAGGAGTTCTGACACAAAGCTAGCATTGTGCTACCAGACACACACATGCATGCACACACACACACACACACACACGGATCAATAAGAAATGTGTAGGTCTGAGGAGAAAATTACAGAAATGCCTTTGAGATAACACACACACATTCACAGTCTCGTGTGCGTCAAGTTTATCAACCCAAGTCTGGTTTCTACACAAAGAAAAATTAAAGTGACAATAATTAGTTAATTGGCTCGTTACTTCGAACTACTTAAGAAAACTTTTGTAACTTGGTAATTTTAAAGAGGACACATGCGAAATCCACTATTTTAGCTGTTAAACACATTTTGTTGTGGACTTGGAGTCTCCAGAAGTGCAGAAAAGTTGGATTTAGTCTCTCCTGGTGCTGCAAAGATATCTTTATATTCTGATTGGGTCTATTTGATGTTTTCTGAGTCTATTACATCAAATTATCTGYGACGGAACTGCCATATAGTCTGGATTTACCAACTACAATTTCCTCCTCTTTTTTCTGCTCTGGTTGTGGGTCAGAGTCTGGTTGTGGGTCAGACTCTGGTTGTGGGTCAGATTCTGGTTCTAACATGTAACGCTGGATGAACAAGTCTTCTGTTGCTGACGTCTTTTAATGAAATTGTAAATAAGACATTTCTGAAAGCTAGAAAACATAACCCCCTCTCTCAAACTGGAGTGGACCGGTCTGGAAGCTGGAGGGGGCGGGGCTTAAAACATCTTAAATGAACAGTAACAAAACCAGCTACTTTGTGCCACACATCAGAAAAGGGTTGGTAAGTTTATGAATTCAGACCAAAGCATTGTAGTTCCACTTTATAAAGACCCCAACTGAATGATTTAAATGTGAAAAGGAAAGATTTAAAAGCATGATATAGCCACTTTAAGTAGAAACCAAATGCTTATGTTTATAAAACAAATGGATGCAAACAGATGGCTGTATTATATTATTTTTAAACAAAAAAAAATAATTAACATACTATACAGGTTTATTCTTGTTGCATAATTTAAGTCCCTAAAAAGCACAAATTTSATTTAAAATTTTTAGTTTGTCGAACATACTAAAAACTAACTTTTTAAACATGTATTTTCCCTGTCTCCATCTATAGATGTTGAGCTCGATACTGTTTGCAGCCGTTGGTGTTTTAGGTGCAGGTTACTCAGTTGTTGTGTCCGGCGTGGCCATCAACCAAGGACCTTCCTGTGAGGTGCACAACAGCAACAGCACTGCCAACGCAACGGAATGGAGGCACCCCTTTGAGAATGGGTGAGACGAACAAAACAGTTTTGTTGTTTCATTTTCAGGTTTGCCAATAAGTACCGGTGTCTGCAGGCTAATCTTGTTTCTGTTTCTGCAGGAACTACCTCTCGAACAAGACTCTTTGGGATGCCTGCCTACAGCCGAAGAACGTGGTACCCTGGCATCTGACTCTGTTCTCCATGCTGCTGATAATGGGTCTGATCCAGATGGCGCTGTGTGCTGTGCAGGTGATCAACGGCCTGCTGGGAGCTCTGTGTGGAGACTGCTGTGGCTGCTGTGGAGGGGTCAGTATCCAGTCTGATCAGATCACAACTTTATTTTCACACCTGTAAATTTTAAACCACAAACATCTGGTCAAGGCCTGACGACTAGACACATGAAAATGTTAATAATGTTTGTCTTTCAGAGCGATGGGGCCGTTTAAGCACCTCCTAAGGCTGAACGAAGTCTTACCGATATTTATTCTGTTTCCTGAGGATTACTTTTTCCATTGATCTTTTTATTTTTTTTAGATTTGTGATTCTGGATAAAGCTCATAGATTACAGTGCATGACCCTAAAACACTGTTGAAATGACGGAGCTTTATACTCTCTAGAAAACAAAACCCTATCATTCTTAAGATAATTGTTTATCTGTTGGCTCAGATTTTCACTGCACTCATTAATTTTTCCTCCTGCTGTGTATTTATTTAGTTTCACTGTTTTTTGTTTTGTTTTTGTCTCTCACATGGTTATAAGTATAGATTTTTTTATGAGCAGTCAAACTTCATGACTGCCCCCTACTGGGCAGCAAACGCTACTGCAAGAAAGATCCACCTGCATCTTCATTAAAAATCAAGTTAACCATCACATTATTAACAAAGGACTTAGATATTTTTTTGTTTAATCTGATGTGTTGCAGTAACATTTTTTACAAGGACTCATTTGCATTTGATTTTATGGGATTTTAACTTGATTGATGCACCAATAAAGTTGATCTTTCTGAAGTTCACTTAAAACTTTGTCTGCATTGTATTTTGCTGCACTACACACAACATTAGCAAACCAAGACACGGCAGGTGAAGCAAATATTACAGAATACCAAACAAAAAACCCTTTAAGATCAAGACCTCTTTTCCAAGAAGGATATGGCCAAGAGATCAGCATGAATCACTAATAAAAAATAAATACTCCTTATTTTTTTAAGTATATAT